GCAGAGCATCGTCTCCGTCACCCCCAAGCACTCGGAGACGTCGTCTTCCTCCACCAGCTCCGACTCCTCCCAGTACCGCTCGCCCTCGGAGCGGGACAGCTCCAGCATCATCACCATCGACGCCCACGCCCCCCACCACCCCGTCGTCCACCTCTCTGCCGGCAACGGGCCCTGGGAGTGGAAATCGGGGCCGAAGGGGCCGGAGGGGCCGGACACCTACGAGCTGGGCGAGATGGGGAAGGATTTCCGCGGCTTCCGCCCGGCCAAGAGCGCCGGCGTCTCCCCCGGCTCCTCCGTCAGCGACATGGAGCAGGATGAGCCGCGCTACGGCAGCCTGGCCGCCATCCCGGGGGCAACGGGGGGCGGCGGGGAGCGGGGGGATGTGCCCCCCGAGGGGCTGCTGGGCACGGCCAGCCGGGAGTCCACGCTGCGGAGGAAGCCGGCCGAGAGGGACGGGCAGGGGGATAGCGAGGTGGACCACTACTACAAGAAAATGCAAGCTGGCCGGAGGTTTAAGGACTGAACCCCCACTGTTTTCCCTGCACCCGGCCCCCCGCTCCCCTGCCCTGCCTCGGGGGGCTGGGGTTGGGGGGGGCGGGGGGTGGTGTGTGATGCTGGGGTCCTTCTCTGCTGGGGGGCACTGGGACGGGGCTGTCTTTGGCATCGGGGTGACTGAGCAACATGAGGACATGGCAGAGCACAGTCACACCGGCCCCTGAGCCAGCTGAGATGTGTGGCAGGACCCCCCCCCCCCAACACGGGACCCCCGGTCCCACCTGGGCAGCTGGGGGGGGGCTCAGAGGGTCACTGCCCTGTCCCGGCTCAGGGGGCTGGGCAGCTCCAAGCACTTTTGACTTTTTTTTCTCTCTAACACAGGTGCTGACATTTCTGAGGGGTGAATTTATTCCAGCTCTGGAAGAGTACGTCTGTCTTGGGGGGGGGTGGGGGGGGGCAGCAAATGGTGCTGAAGGACTTCGAGGGGGGGAGCTGAATCGAGGGGTCTTGGGTCAGGGAGTGTGGGAGGAGGCACTGCCGTGGGGCAATGGGTCTTGGCATGTGTGGGGCTTTGTGGATGCTGGGGGTCCGCGAGAGCTGGGCAGGGAGCGGGGGGGGGTTGACTCAGACCACCCCCATCCTGCACCACTGGTCTGTGTTGGGGAGGATGGGGCGGGGGGGGTGGGGGTGCAGTGCCAGTGGGGCAGTGGGGGGGGCTGCCCAGGGCTGGGGCTCTGGGCACAGAGGTTGTAAATACTGCACGGGCTGAAGTAGAGGGGGGGGTTGTTGGGGTGGGGACGGAGGGTCTGGGTGCTGCCAGGGCTGTCATGGGACGGGGGGGGGAGCCAGGACTCAGCTTTGTCCCCTGCAGCAGCAGCCCAGGGCTGGGGGACGGAGGTTTGGGCGGGTGGGGGGTGGTCTCGAGGCTGTGAAGACGTCTGTCACGCAACGGCTGGAACTGCTGTGGTTTGAAAAGCAAATAAACACGTGAATGTTCCCTGGCTGGGCTCCTTTCCCAGGGGCGGGGGGGGGGGGGGGGGGAGGCGGGGGGCAGGATCAGGGCTTGCCGGCATCTGTGGGGGCCCCAGTGCACCGAGGACACCCCCCGACCCCATTTTGCTGCAGTTTCTCGCCACGTTGCTGTGGCAACGTGGGATCCAGACCCTCGAGGCCCCATGCCCCGCCCCCCCCCCCCCCCCCAACTGGTGCACAGCACAGCCCCGGCGGGGAGGATGCCCACCCTTGGGCCAGCCCCAGCGGTGGGGACACTCAGAGACCTCCCCATGGTGTCCTCCCGTGCTGCCACCACCCCCAGACCTGTCCCCGTCTGGTGGTGACGAAGCCCCCCACGACCCAGCCACGGCACGGGGGGGGAGCGTCTGCTCCCCTTTGTCGTGGCCTGTAACACGCCGGGCTAGCAGCCCCCGGCTCCGGCTTGCCCTGTGCCCGCAGCCCCAAACCGTCCGAGTTCACAGCAGCTCCAGAGCACCCTGGGTTTGTGCCGGAGCCCACGGGAGCTGCCAGCGAGCAAGGGCTGAGCCCCCCAGAGCCATCCCAGCCCGGGGGGCAGCGACGGACACAGCATCTGCACAGGGATATAGCTGATGCTGTTAGCGATGTACACGTGAAAGGAGTGATGCACAGATGGATTGAAAAAGATATGGAACAGTATATTCTGCATGGGGATGAAATCTATGCTGTGCTAAACCGACCGGTGAACCACAAGAAGAAACTCTTCCTCATTACCCCCAAAACCAGGGCGATGGGGCGATGGCACCGAACTGCCGCTGCCAATTGGATTAACAGGGGATAGCCCAAAGCCTCCGCCTTGCAAACGTATGGATTGCAAACGTATGGATTATCCAGCATAACCCTGACGCGGTGCTGGAGAAGCCTCCTGGGGATTAGTGACAGGGTTGCTGTGGGGGGCTGCGGCGGGGGCACCCGGGGGTTGTGTCTGCCCCGTTAGTGGGTGGGTGGGTGGGCTGGGGGGGGTCCAACGTGCGGCAGGTCCCTGCATCTGCCTCGGTGCAGGTGACCTGGGGGGGGTCAAATGGAGCTGCCAGTGACGGCCAAGGCCGGCTGGGACAGATGCGCTGGCAGTCCTGGGGGGGGGAGTGTGGGGGGCTCACAGCCCCCAGCCCCAGGCCCCCATCGCTCTCACGACTCGTCTCGGTGAGCGATGGCGTCACACACCGCTTCCCGCTGCCTCGGACCCAGCGGTTTCCATAGCAACTGCCAGCCCCGCACCTCCCGCAGCCCCCGGCCCCCCCCCCCCCGGCAGCACCCCCAGCTGCTGCTGCATCGTCTGGGAACCCACAGGGCCTGGGAGGGAGCAGGATCCTCCCCCCACCTTCCTCCTCCTCTGCCAGCCGGGAGGAGGCAGAGGCAGAGGCCCAAGGGGGCTGCTGAGCCCCAGCGCATCACCCCCAGCCCCCCCGCCCTGGGCAGCGGGGGCTCTGCCATCACCCCGGGCCTGGGGAGGGCAGGCAGGGACGGACAGAGCTCAGCTCCCCGTGCCCGGGCTCGGGCCAGCGGACGGAGACCCTGGGCCACCCTCTGCCAGGAGCCCCCTGGCCATGTCCCCGTGACCCCCCAGGGGCAACGCAGGAGCCGCAGGAGCCGGGGCCCAGCTCTGTGACAAACAAAGGGCTCAGCCCCCCTCTGCCTTATCGGGGCTTTGGGACCCCCAGCTGCAGGGAGGGAGGAGCCGAGAGCAGAATTCCCCCCCTCATTAACCAGCCTCCCGTTGCTAATTGCTCCTGGGGTGCAGGGCAGAGATACAGACCGGCACAGGGCCTGCAGAACGCTGCCATCAGAGCAAGGGGAAGGCACCAGCGCCCGCCAGGGCTGGGGATCAGGGACCCGGAGGAGGGAGTCGCTCCCCCAAACCGCACGCTTTGGTGTGAGGCTGCTGCTTCCGCATTATGAAAAGCCACAACTTCACTGGAGACAGCTTCAACCCCCCCCGGGGTGCGGGAGCCCTGGGTGAGGGGGGCGCTGGGGGCCACCTCTGCACCCTCCAGCCGGTTTAGAGAGTGCTGCTCCCCTTTGCAGGACAGCCAGCCAGCCCCCCCGCTCCGGGGGCACAGGGGAGGGGGCTGGCACGAAGGTCGGTGCAGCAGCAGCAGCGGGGTCAGAAGCTCCGGGCCCAGGGGGGGTGGGAGCAGGGGGGCTCGGTGGGGCAGGATCAGGGGGGCTTCATCCAGGTTTGCTGAATTCACTTCCCATACCAAGATGCTGAGGTCGTGCAGGTCAGGCCTTTCCCGGGTGGGGGTTGTTCTGCACTGAACTTCTCCCCCCTTGCCCTGGGCAGGAGCTTGACCCAAATTGGGGGGTGACAGCAGCGTACCCCCACCAAAACCAAGCCTGGCCCGGCGAGATCAGCACAGCCCCGCTCCAGGGGCGAGGGCCGGGTACAGGCGTGGGCAGGATGGGGACACGGGCTCTGCCCCATCCCCACACCGGCCCCCCCTCCCCTGACAGCAGGGGGCCGGGGGGGGGGGGGGGGGGGCAGCCCAGCCCCGGGCAGGATCGGGCCCCTCTCAGGAGGCAGCTCCCACCGTTTCCATGGTGACCCAGCCCATCACGTGCACCCACCCCGCCATCCATAGCTGCTTCGCCCGCAATTACTGCAGCAGGCAGCTAATTAGCGATTCGCTACTTGTCCGAGGGGGACCGCGATGGGCCGGAGGAGGGGGCTGCAGGCCTCCCCCCTCCCGCAGAGAACTACAAAGCCGAAAAAAAAAAAAAAAAAAAAAAAAAAAAAAAAAAGCGCTGAAGCAGCTGCCTGGAGTTTCCCCCCTGTTTCAGGGATCTCCGGGAGCTGCCCCCCCAGCAAGGTCAACCCAACCCGGGCAGGGAAAAGCCCTGCTCCTCCCCCGGTGCCACCGGGCCCCCCCGAGCCAGGGTGCGACCCCCAGCATGACACAACCCTCCCCACAACCCTCCCCGGGCCTTACACGGGGAATGGTGCCCGCTCCCCCGCACCCCCTCCAGCTCGCCAGAACGCTTCGGCACAGCTACAGCACACAACTACAGAGAGTATTACGTATTTGACTTGAAAGGGGGTTATTCCATGGATATTAGCTAGAATATATGGAAAGTTTAGGAACATGAAGTAAAAAAAAAAAAAAAAAAAAAAAAGTGTTGGAGTGTGACAAAGAGCATCAGTTAAGGCCCTACAACCTCCTACCTCTGGGCTCTGATCCAGCTCGGAGCGCCGGGAGCGGATCCGTCGCAGCCGCCCCGCGCGGCACAGACCCTAACAGGGACAAACACTCTGGCAGCCCAGAGGGATGTGAAGAGTCAAAGTTATATAAAATGAGGCAGCTGAAATTACATTAGAAGGAAAAATCAGAAGCAAAATAGGCACAATAAAAAGATAGGAAAATCAGAAGCAAAGAATACAGAAGAAATTTATTGAAAGCACAAGTACAGACTGGCCAATAACTGCTTTCTACAATCTGAACAGTAAATAATGGAGCTACAGAAAGGTACAAAGGTTGTTATAAAATAGTTTTAATTTCGTTTCTTTTTGCATTACAAACATTCTTCGAAAGAGGCAATGGAATTCTGATGTTGTGTATGCTTACCCTCCCCACCCCACCTTCCACAATACTGAACCTGTAATAGCTGTTATCAAAATATACAATACATCTGTTCACCATAAAAAACTGGGTTTTGCTGCCCCCTCATGTCTTACAACAGGTATAAAAAAATTATAAATATGTACACCCTTTTGTTACTCACATTCTTTACATGCAAACACAGGGATCCAAAGGAAAAACCCACAACTGCCTGGGTTCTGGGGTTACCTCAATTAATTTGCTCGCATTTTGCAAAATATAGATAGCCCGTGGGTTGCCCAAATCAAGGTCGAAGGCCACCAGACAGGTTTGCACTCCAATAAGCCTCTTCCCAGCATCCCGGGTGAGGTGGATCGAACGTGTTTAAAAGCTAAACCACGGCTGTGCTGCTTGGGCTGCGCATGGACCCCCCCGCGTGGGGCTGGCTCGGGGGCACCGCCTGCGCCCGGCTGCAGGAGGAATGGATTTTTCACTTGGGGAGGGAGATGAGCAAACTAACTCTAGTTGACAACTACCAAAGACACCTGAATTCGCCCTCCTGAACGCAAGATGCTGGCAAGGAAACGTGGAGCTTCCCCGGAGGCAGATCACAAGGCTTCGTTAAGAGGCTTACCCAGAATTAGAGGTAACCGAAACCAGCGTCTACTCGTCAGCTGAGCTGCCTCAGCCCAACCTGGGCAGCTCTTCCACTGACCATGGCTTCGTGCTCCTCAGCCACAAAGCGAAGACTAAGGCAGACAAGGATTACCAATCTCATGCCAGCAACCTAAACTGAACCCTCACTCAGACTTCACACACTTCTCCAGCATAATTCACATCCTCAAGAGTTCAGGGAGGAACTAAGAAAAGTTAAGACTTTTCCAACACTCAGTGCTACGCAAGTCAAGAGCTCCCACACTAAGCAAGGAAATCGTAACTTGCAACACTAAGACGATTAAAAACAAACTTTGGTCCACAATTTGCAGAAAAACCCTGAAAAAAAGTACAAGATTCTTGTTATTTTGCATCCGAACAGGTTGCAGCTTAGAGGGAAATGTAAGGCAACATCGGATTACACAAAATAGAAGGCAGAATGGCCCAGGAAAGAGTTGTAAGCCAGAAAAAAAATTAATGGTTGTATCATTGGGAAAAAACAATCTGCTGCATTCTACTTTATTTAATAAATTCCCTTCCTATAACTTAAAATATCTGGGCTTATAGGTTAAAAAGGTGAAAATCTTTAGCCTGGGTCCTTTTACTTAAATTCACAAGCTATTTGTGCTTGTTATCTCAAAGACTTTGCTTTAAAAATCTGCTTTGCTTAACATGTTTTATTGATTACATTACTCATCCTCAGTCATGACCTCAGCCTGATAACTAAATTCCTGCCCTACAGTTTCAATTACAAAAAAAAAAAAAAAAAGAAAGTACAGTATACAAGGGTAATACCACAAAGGAGTAAATTTAGATTACGTTTATACCATCTTATCATTCTATAAAAAGGTACTTAAACTATTTCTTTTGCATATAAAGAGATTAGAATATTTGGTCAACTGGAAATATTGCTAGGCACAGATGACAGCAACGGCATCAAAAAGTATAATACAAGAATTAAATCAAAAAGCTCAAATGCTGAAGACATGCTATAAGAATGATGGCAGAGCTACATTGGTCTTGTTAATCTCAAATTAGGGGCACGAAGGTGACTCACATGAACACCTTTCTAAATGTGGGATATCCAATAATTCTTCAAATCCTAGCCAGGTATTTAGATATATATATATACACACACAATTTCGACAAACTCTTAATGATTCGTCTTCACAAGTGTCCAACAGTGGTTAATTTTGTATCTTGATCAATGCTCTTGTGAAGGGCAGAGCCTGGTGACTTGCTATGGACAATGGAATGCAATTTGGTCTCGGGAACGCTTCCCCACCCAGACCTCTGCTTGGTCTGAATGCTGCGGACAAAGGCTCTTAAATAACTCCTGCTTGACAGTTTGCAGATGGCGATAAACCACAAGCACATTGGAAAGAGTCATGAAGACACATGATACTATGGAGATTGAGACGTTTCACAGACAGCGGGATACAACTGCCTGAAGAGTCAAAGCCCAATATTTTCTTTATCCACTTTGCCAGCTTCACTTGTCCTTCGCTACAACAAGCTGATCCAGTAAGCCAGAGCTCACTCATTCCCCTCAACTCTCCCAATCCACTCCCTGCAGTTCAGATGTTTCCCCCAAAGAAGTAAAAGGTTTAAGGCACAGGATAGCAGATGCACAGTTAAAGTAGGATCAACGCAAATTATTTTTGTGCTGGGCGAGTTGGGAGCTCCTGTACACCATGCATTTTGCAAAATCCTGACTCAAAGGCGCTAAAGTGAATTTACACAGTGGTTTTAGGTCTTTCAAGGCATGGATGGGTAAAGAAAATAAAAAAGGCATCAATGTGAAACCTGATAAATTTGTTAGGATCTGTTTTTGGAGGGGGGGGGGGGGGGGGGAGGGGCGGGGGGAAGGAGCAGGAAGGGAGGGGAATTTCCCAGAGCAGGTTCCAAAGTGTAAACTTTAACTTGTGATTTTTATTTGAACAGTCAAGATTGTTACCCATCACCGCAAGGTTAGCAATATGAATTAGATTTTAATTTTTTTTTTTTTTTTTTTAAAAACCGGTAAACTGATTTCTCTTTAAAAAAATAAAATCTCTGGTCTTTTAAGGTCACTTCAGCTGCATTTTTAAAGTGGCTTTTTTTCTGGAATGATGGAAGTTGAAACCCTAGAGTTCAGCCTTTTAAGGTCAAGGCTGAACCCAAGAGGTTTTTAAGTCAAGTCCATTTTGTCTCATGCCTTCCAAAGCTTTAAATTGTGGACTTCGAGAAGGACACACGCAGGTGATGATTCTCACCCAGGTCATGATTATGGAGGTCAATGAGTGATTGAATGGCTTCTTCCACAGAGCCCATCTGGATCAGAGCCATTTTACGGTCCTTCCTGACAAGACAGAAGCTTAAGTCAGTCAGTACCACTGCAATGCCGCTTCCCCAACTCGATGCAAGTTTTCTTACCTAGCACTCAACAAGGCCAGCAGAAAATTAACTCCCTGGGTAACTGCAATATACTTTCTTTTTATATGGAAGAGTATACCTTTAGGATAAACATGCATACCCAAACTTCTCACTCAGCAACCCTAGTTTTTCTTCAACTCACACTCATCATGCACTCAACCCAGGGTTACTCTGGAACTCTTTATTCCAGAGTCAAATACTACATTAGTGATAATTCTCTCACCTTTCACTTAGCCTGAACTGGAATTTGATCAGAACTAAGCACTTCTACCCTTCTCATATTGAACACCCCAGTGTAAGGACAGGATGTAAGAGAACACACTTACTGGAAGAATTTGAATCCTTTGACCATCCCCCCGTTGCTTGAAAATAACATCTTAAGGTCATCTTCAGTTATTGAAGGCCTGAAACAAATAGTTTTTCCAGTCAAAGGTACAATGACAGACCAAATTATAAATTAATCTCTAAAAAAACAATTCTCAGAACCTTTTCTAAATTCTCTACTGGTAGCTTCTTGTACATGTACATGGGCAAGCTTTCCTCTGGCCAGAAACAAAAAGCTGACTGTATTTACTCTCACACTAGGTTTGCAAACATTTTTTACACTCAGCCACATAGGAACTCTCCACGCAGATACTTACGGAATATTGGACAAGTGAAGAGTGGCAGAAGGGGGAAAGATGTTTTGGAAATTTTTGGAGCCTGGTTTCTTGAAGCGATGTAGAGGAGAATTTCCATAGTCCTTAGTCAGCCCTTGGTCTTCCTGCCCCTCGCGGGGAAGCTGTACTGTCTGGTGCTTGGACAACGTTATACGGATTGGCTTCCCGTGAAGCTTCTGGCCATTTAAATGGCTCATGGCTGCAACAGTTAAAGACAACACTGACTACAATGGCATTGCAGCTTTGTTTAGACATTTAAATCAAAGCTAGAATTTCATTCTAGTTCTTCCCTGTGCAAGTACCACACCCTCCAGGAACTGCACGGCAGGCATTGTTTCTCTGCCTCACTGTATTGTTTATCCTGTCTTCCCTCTAGATTATCTCACATAAATGAACCATACCTTCTCCAGAGCTGCCCCCAGATCCATGCGACATATGCAGACAAGCAATTAAGTGCAAGGACACATTCAGGTTTTGGGTCTTTTTTTTAAGAGAAGAAAGTACTGATATTAAAGCTTTAATTACCCATTAGGTCTCTTAATGCTAACAGTCTGATACTTTTAAGCTTGCTTACCAAGCTGGGCCTGGTTTCCATCAGCCATCTGAACTAGGGCATTCTCTTTCTTATTAAATAAAATCTTCACCCTCTGCACATCACCATAGACTCCTTCAAAAAGTGAGGAAACAAGAATAGTCTTAGGTAGGGGAAAGAGAATGAGATCTCATTCAACTTAATATTAGCTAATCAATCCAACAGCAAAAACATTCATTCACAACCAGAACTGATCTCATTCCAACCATGGTTACTTATTCTGCTCTAATTAAGGAAAATTCTTATATAGCAGAATAATAATGGAACAATACATTAAAGAAAAGACACTGGGTTTCAGCAAAAAGCAAAATTCTTACTGCCAGGAGACTGGACAATTTAGCATGCTATCACAATTTAAAACTCTTATAAAAGACATGCAAAGCAATAAACCATGCATAACTGAACATAAAATAAAGGCAAACTAAATTAAATAGCAAACTAAGTAAACAATGTAAAAATGAAATTATGCATTCAAAAAAATTGCAAACTGCAAACTGTACATTTTTGAAGTATCAAAAAAAGTAATCTCAAATAAATGAAAAACAAGGTAATAAAAAGTGTGAATAATAACATACCGAAAAGAATAAAGAGGCATTGGGGTGTAACTCTCTTTAGAGAACAGCAGAGCAAGGCAGCGGAGGGACAGGGAAGAGGTAAGGAATCGAAGGGGAGAGCGAGGTTGCACAAATCGTCCACAACGAGGAAGGGCAGAGTCCCCGCAGGAAATGGCGAAATTGGTTGATGGATGATGAAGTTTTCAAGATGGTTAATATTGAAGGGCAGGTTGGTTTCCGAAGAGCAGGGTTTTTTTTTTTTTTTTTTTTGGAAGGGGAATGTTTTTATTTTTTGTTTCAAGCAACAACAGGAAGCAGAAGTACCGTGCAGTCAGTTGGCAAAGAAATTCCGGATCAGGGGAAGAAAAAAAATTCAGGGATGGGGAGAAAAGAAAAAAGTAGCAAAAAACACAGGTCAGTAAATACATAAGGAAATATGTAGTGTTCCATCAGTCAGATTTATAGAATTCTACATACAATAACTTGTTTACAGAAACAGTTAATAGGTTTTACCTAGTGGAACACAATGATAAAGAAAAGGCATTTTTACTTAAGATATACAAAGAAGTAAGAGACAGTATCACAATAGAGTGACTTCTATAAGCTTTAATATTGAATTAAATTGCAACGGTATTCCCTGATATTTGACTAAAAAAGTTTTCTTTGATTACAAGAATTTTTTAGAAGAAATGATTTCATGGATCAAGTCAAACATACAGCTGTACGTGCTGCTTTAGGACCAGTGACTATAGAAAGCAATCCTTATTGCAATACTTAGCTGTAACAAGGAAAGTCCAATTTAGATACCAATCTCTGCCTTTAAAGCAAAAGATTATCTGGATGAGCAGCTGTACCACTACAAAAATCCACAAAGGTCTGCTAGAAGCCTTGCTATATAGGAACTTGGTACCTCATTTGCAACAGAGATCTATTCCCTTCCATATCAACGGCTTGATCTTGACATGTAAAAACCCCAAACTGCTGCTACTCTGCCAGAAAAGCAGGAAAAGCATCTCTGCTCCCAGTGACAACACTAACTTTGCATGCAGACAAGAGTCTGCACTCAAAGACAATGCAAGCTGAGACAGGCAGCCTTCTTCCACTCATCGTGGAAAGGAAAAATGAAGTAATTTCAGTTTCCGTGATTCTGATTCAGAAAAAAATTATACATCCTCACAGGTAGTCACTCCAGAGAAATACTGTCTCTTAACTAACTGGTTGTGGCACAGGTAAGTTTCTACAACACTGATTACACAGGCAAATGGAAAAAGTTTCAGGTCTGTTAGTTCATAGCTTCAGTACAAGTATCAAAGTCTCTCTAGCCCAAAGATAAGCTGGATGGATAGCAAAGAGCTCATCAAAAAAATACAAGGCATGAAATAACTGCTTGCTCCTACGTAAGCAAGAACTGTGCACACCGTTCAGACACTGCTCAGCTATGAACATGTGCAAATTTAACAGCGGTACAGCACAGTCCCTTGTCCTGTCACTGCCATCCAGACAATGCAAAATCATCCCAAGAAACACACACTTGATGGTATCACACTGGTTGAGAATACTGATAGCAGCTCTTAATGGCTAAGACTTTTGTTTGAACAGCAAGTCATGGGACCAAGCCAGAGATGACAGTTCCTGGAATAGCAGAGGAGTTCCTAGGTAGGAAGAGCAACTCATCCAAACCAAAGCTGTATCACAGTCCCTGCTATTATTTCATGCCCTGGAGAAAATAGTAACGACAGATAAAAAGAGTAGTCTGAGATACTGATTCAATTGGTTCATCTCATCAAGAGTTAAACATTTTGATCATTCATCACATCCAAGCTTCCCCTTTGATGCAAAAGAGGTTTTGTGGTTACTCTGACATCAGTTTTATAGCTTTGCAAAGTAGCATTAATTTGTGTGCACAGTCCCCACCAGTTAAAGTGTTTTTGAGCAGAGACTCATCATACTCTACTGCACACACCAGAAGATTCTACACTTTCAATCCAACACAGAGCCAAAAGCTGACTGAAGAAAAATCCAAGATACCTGTATCAAATTCTCTTACGATGCTGTCTTTCATTACAGAAAATTTTTGTTCAAATATTACTTGCTTTGTTTTTAAAGAAACACAAATATTTCAACTCACTAAGTTAAGCAGAATTGAAAATGTAAACTGCGAGCTGTTAAGGGGTTTAGCTAAGGAAAAACTTCCAGGAATCTTGGAAAGGGAAAATGTGCAAGCACATGGCAGAGGAAATACTGCACAGGTACAAGGTCAAGCTGGCAGGGGTCCAGACACTACACAGAAAGAGCAAAGGTCAGAATGAACTCTCTCTGTAGTTCTGAATTAATGTATTAAAAACTAAAACATGCTAAGGAAAAGAAAGAATGGACATGACTATTCTGTGACCCAAATGACACTATTCCATGGGAATGGCAGGGAGACTCCAAATAAGAGGGAGGAAGGGACAGGCATTGTAGTCTTTATGGGACAAGAGCAGGCAGGCAGCATCCTTGGCTTTGAACCAAAGAAGAGCAAGATTTTAGTTTGAGACGGACTTTCTCATTTCCCTTCAGCAACTAGAGTACTGATCTGCTTTGAATTTTAGAGCTGGCAGAGCACATCTGCTTTTCTAGTTTTGCCGTTTCCTTTAGGATACAGTAGGATTTCACTTTCAATGAGTTTCAGCACAATCGGTGTTCAGAAAGTGAAAGCAGAGGTAACAGGAAGGAGAAAAAAGTAAAGTTAGGACTCCACTAACCTCAGGATTCAGATTGCTAACCAGCAGAACAGAGTTCCCTGCCCCAGTGAGGCCGGGAATGGCAATCCGTCCTGCTGCAGCCGCTGCAGCTGCTGCTGATGGGATAGCCAAAGGAGCTAGTGCTCCATGAACATTGGGAACTGACAGGCCTGGAAATTAAAGAATATTAACCAGTAAAGAAGTTAACAGCACGTACTCTAGTGTATTTGCTGCACCAGAAGGGAGAACAGCACACCTTCTGTAACATGCAAGTGATCGTTCAAAACACAGTGACCGTATATTCTAAGATCAACTGGAACCTCCAATTCTGGTGCTGCAGGAAATGTTATAATTTCTAATAATATTTGCTCTTGCAGTGCCTGGTGCTTAACAGGTGCCTCTCAGCACTATCTTGTTGACTACAATATTTTGCACATTTCACAAGAAGCGGAATCAGCACAAAGCCTCAGCTCTGCTGGTGCAGGAAAGGTATCAACAAACAGTGCATTTGAAAGGGTCTTTCCAACCAGTGCATGCCAAAAATGCTTTGTTCTTTAACCATGCATGTAACAATCAGATACTGTATGCTACAATCAGCTAATCTCTTCTTGAATAGATAAACATTAAAGTTGTATTTACAGGCATTTCTAGGTTGCTCACAGTAACAGCTGGCACCTCACTGTATTAGCCCTCCAAAGGGAAGAGCTTTAGAGCTCAAGAAACAATTGCTAGTAATCAATTAAATGAAATTACTTCTCAAAGTGACATTGTATGTTTCCCCAACAGGACAGGACATTAACAAAACAAACAGTTCGATCAGTGCTTGTTTGTCATAAGCAAGGAAATTCCATCAAATTACAAGAAAGTCAACATAGCTTGGTATGCTATGAAAAGCAAAGTGAAAATTGTTTAGTCTAGCACTCCATTAAGTGTATTTAGCACCTACAACCCAAGTCTTTAATCTCAGACACCCGGGTACTTCTGTAAGTAGCAATAACTTGGTACCTGCAATATGAGCTGTAAACTTCACAGTGCAACTGTAACGGTGTATGTAATTAGGTTCATGTTTAAATACTAGCTTTACACAAAATATTTTGGAAAAAAAATGGACAAAGATTCCTTGCTTTTGACCACATTCACAGCTGTCCAAGTGAGTTCCCCAGCTCTGCAACCACATGAGGAAATTCAAAATACAAAAAAAATGTGATCTCCTCCCCATCTCCCCCAATTATTTTAAATACTGCCTTTAGTGTGTCTCCCATGCTGCTACCCGTATTTTCCTCATCACCGGGATATTACTTAGCCAGAGGTGCTACAGCTGCACACTCACATTCCTAGTTAAGGTTATGCACTGAAACACCATCCCCTTCTATACCCAAGTGCCAGCATTTAGAATTTACATGACTAACCCCAACAAAAATAATCACTACTTAGCTTTAAAACATCAAGATGCTTCAGCAACAGAAAACCTATATAAAATTTCAACTTACGAAATACAGTACCTGCAGCCTGAGGAATTGCAAAGGTAGGAGGAAAGCCAGCTCCTGCATATGGAGAAGCAGAGATTATTCCTGGGGCACCTGGGAAAGATATACACATTATACAAAAGACACCCAACAGCAAGAAAACTCTAGACTTAACTGCAATGTCTTGATCTGTCCTTCAACATGAGCATTTAGTTGAAAGCTAAACCCTAAAATATAAACAGTAATTCAAAAATGCCTAATGTAACACTGAACTTCAAGAAATTACAAATACTACAACTCCTCTAACTCTGCTGTTCTGAAACAGCTATTATAATACAGCTGTTATCCAGAACACAAGCTAGCAGCTCCTTCAACTGTTTACCCACAACAGTTTTCAAAGCACAAGTTACAGCCCCCCCCCCCCCCCCGGTTATGGCTGAGCCCACACTGTAGGTGCAACAGCAGATGGCACTAGAAGCACAGGCAGCTGGAAAGCCTTCAACCATCCTCACCCAAAGGGAGAGGAGACTTGAAAGCAGCAGCATGCACCCACATCCGTATGTTCCTACTAGTATTTTGCACTGATTCAGTGGTTCCCAAATTTTCCTCATTAGTCACATTGTATTCCAAAATTCCGTAAGACAAATACACTATGCTTACATCCCGTTCCCTTCCCCAATTGACACACATCAGTTACATTTGTCCTGCTCCCACTTCAAGAACTCTCACCAAAAGCAGCTGCCATGGTCTGATCCAGAGAGGGCTGGTTATCCCCAGAAGGTAGGTCTGGTCGTGTATAATCTCTGCTCTTATCATTATTGTATTTTACATTGAGACTTGTGAGTTTTGAGAAGTCTATGCGCAGCGTGCAACAGGCATTGTAGATATTCTGTCCATCTAAAGACTGGAAGGAAACAAACCATTCTTCATCCAAGATGCATTTATACCAAGATCACAGCAATAAATCTCCAAAGAGACAGGGTGTTACATCATCCCAGGTACGAGTGCTCCATCTGAAGACAAACAGAGATCTCGCCTTGTGTGGAGAGAGCACTGCTCCATTTTATACCTTCCACATTCACTCAAGTTAGCCACACTGCTCTTGGCAGGGGACATTCCCTCCCACTCGCACATGTGATCTGCCATCAGAGCAATGCTCATGTAAACCCATTATGACCACCAAATACTCCAAAATGCTGGTTTCTAACTTTGACCCTCGATTAATAAAAACAAGTCTAAAAGCTAAAATAATTCAGGTGTTTAGCACTGCAAGCATATTACTCACCAGTTTGGCATGCTGAGCACTCACTGGGTCAGCATATTGTAACAGGGCCTGAAATTGGTTGTTCTTCGTGAACGTAATTATTTTCAGGACTGTACCAAATTTGGAAAAAATCTGCAAGATAATATTTGCATATCTTATCTCATTTCCAAGTAAGTTAATTACATATTGATCTCCATTATTATAGGCAGAAACAACAGAAGTTATCCTTTCACCTTACCATGGGCATTGTTTAACTTGCATCATGTCATCAAACTAGAAAAACATCAGGGTGACTGAACTGCCCCTTTATTAAAGATTTTGTTTTGCTATGAATTCTTACACGGGAAGATTCACATACACCTTCACAAACCGGAACTTTTCCAAGAATTTCAGGGATGCTGAAATGCACTCAAGCTTCCATTCTAAACACGAAGATTAAGTTAAGCAACCACAGCAGACAGGAACATTCCAAATAGGCTACTGCCTAAATAAATGACCCCTCACTGTATTTGTTTCCCCCTACCCTCACACAAGGACACGTAGCAGCTACTTCTGCTAAACCCAAAACAGAACTTGAAGAGCTGTCTTGAAAATGTAAATATTTGTCCCTTGCACTGTATCAGACTGATCCAATTAAAATGGTCCAGCAATCAGATCTCTGGAATTTAAAGTCTGGCCAGATTGGGACAAAACCCAGAAGGATCTCATGTAGGTGTCAGGGTCTCCAGAAAGTAGAAATTTGACAGCTATGTGCAGAACTTGAATTGTACAGGTGAAAACCACATGCTGTTAGAACACAGGCATTGCAAATACAACAATCCACTATATCCCTCGCTACCCTTTCTCCAGGACAATCTTCAAGAAGTTGTGGTGACATTTTACCTGATGCAGAACATCTAGGGTGACAGGATAGAAGAGATTCTCAACAATGATTCTCAGGACAGGGCTCTGGCCAGCCATCGCCATTCCTGCATCCACTGCTGCAGCAGAGGCTGACAGCGCTAGGTTTCCAGACTGGACAGAATTCACTGCTTGCAGAGCTGCTTGGGCACGCTGCAGAACCACACATTCTGTTAGACCAACACTTCTGCTTGCAGAAATACACATTCAGCTTTTCTTGAGCTTCCTATCTGCAAACTACTAGCAGAACTCAACAGTTAGCAGAACAGCAGAAAGCAATTTACTGTTCCTAAGGCTGGGGATGCGATGACTTTAGCACATTTTAAACATGAACAACACAGATCAACCCAATCAGTAAGAGCAGTGCAAAAATGAAACTAAATAAAATATGAAGTACTTATTCTACTACTAGAACCTTGCTCAGCATCTACTGATGCAGCAAAATTATTCCACTGTTTAGAAAAAAGGAACAACTAGGCTCTTCTGGGGAGAAAGACCATCTCCAGAATACTACAGAAGCTGACAAGACTGAAAGATTAATGCACATCTGCTATAGGGATCCAGGAGTGAAAACTGACTTGGAGTTTTCCTGCAGAGTCCCCCTCACACATATAACATTATGATGTGCTCACTGTTGTGCATTAGATTCTGGCTTTGTTAGATGCACCGAATAGCAGCATTTCATCTGCACAGCATTAGATGCTCTGATCCTGAAAGTCAGCCTGAAAAGTGAGAGGAGGCAAACTGGATGTACTTGGCAGCCACCCCTGATAAGGAGGCACAAGTAACTTGAACTTCTTTCCAGTGTTCCTGTCCTGAAAGATTGCCAAGAGCAGTTGAACCAAAAAGGGAACTTTTTACACTATGCAGAGCATATCTTGCACAGGAACTCCAGACTTCCCAGACAAAGCCTTAGGAACTGCTGTGTTCATGTGCTGACTGCCTCATAGCACTTATCAGCAACAGATCATACTCTACTGCAGACAAGTTTTGCCCCATCAGAGCTTCATTTTATACAAATCTTTCAAATTTTAGAAACAAACATCCTAAAGCACTAAATGTTAACCAAGTCTTTAGATAGGTATTCAGTTACTGTTTCTAACTAAAGAATGCTAAAACCACTTCTTCTGATCTCATATTCACTGCGTGTTTTTTTCCCCTGATATTAAGGCAGTTTTAGCAGCTCATTTAACAGCCTGCTGAGACTTTGTGTAAGAGCTACTAAAGGAGACCTTCTTCCATGCTACAAATTAAAGTAGCAAGTGAAAACTTTCAAGCAAAAGGAAAAAGGCATTCAAAAGCCCTCTATTCTGAAAGCCAGACTATTAGAACCTAGATCAGAAGTGTTTGTATTCAATCACAAATTCACAGGAAAGTGCAACATGCTTTGTTTAGCACTCTGATAGTTAAACCAGATCTCAGAACTCTCCCAGGCCTATGTCAGCAATACAAATCAGAACAGTAGCAGAGAACTGCCTGCCCCTCCCACCAGTATGACAGTGTTAAAAACAAAAACTAACTGCTTGGTTTGGAGAGTTGTCTGTCTTAAGCTCCTTGTGGTTGGAGAACTGAATGTAGATGGGCTGGCTTCGAAGGACTGGAGTGACTGTGGTGTAGTAGTTTACCATGGTGTTGGCTGCCTCCTCCGTATTCATTTCTATAAAAGCCTGTGCAGAAGTCAAATCCAACACTGATATATTATCAAAGCAACTCACACTAGGAGACAGCATTAACACTCAACAACAGCATCACACAATCAATAACTTTAGGAGGGACTTCCAGATGAATTGTATTTGATTCCCACAACTGCATTTACATACAAGTTTTTGTACACAGTATTGTTTAAGAACTGACTGAATGTAGAACAAATTAGGATCTTTACTGTTCAGACTGGTTTATTGCAATGTTTCAGTTTTGTCCTAAGATCTCCATGCTACATACATTTAGGAAATATCTGCAAGAACACAAAAATACAGCAATATGCCAGATTCTTAACTCTTCTAATAAACAGCTTCCCAACTTCTTTACAGAGCAGTAAGCCTGTTCACTGTTCCATACCTTTGTGGTCTTGTCTACTTCAAAACAAAAACATCAGGGATTGCAGCAAGTCATTACACTAAGTACTTACATATCATCACACCACGCAATATATCAGAGGCACATTTTCATAATTAAGATTAAAGACAAAGTATTTTAAGCAATGATTAAAGTTGGCTTGCCTTTTTTACTCCTTAATTTGTAAGACAATTTTAGTTACCAAATTAGTGCACACCTTTTGCATTACCCAAGAGTATTTTAGCTTTACCCAGCTAATTTATTGTATCTGTAAAGTTGTCCTTAACGTGCAGAGTTACACTGGTGGTTACTCAACTGTCAAGCCAGTTTGAGTGAACAAGGCCAACTCATGTCACTGTTGTCCAAATAGTTTACCTGGTCTGTAATTTAAAAACCAGGCATAATGCTAATTATAAGCAACAACCTATAATTATGGACTTAGCTCCCTGTACAGCCTGAAAATAGTATTTTTTACAGCTCATGGGATAATCATGGAAAAGTAAAATACTAGTATGCAGAAGTTATTGACTCCTAATACATGACAGTTGTTTAAACAACTTGGATCTGGTTTACTGATGACAAACTCATCAAGCCTTGGACATAATCCCTGCTTTCAATTATGGAGACAGTACCTGATTTTTTCCTTTCAACATTAGAAGATTGGTGACCTTGCCAAAAGGTAAGCCCAAAGAAATGACCTCTGCCTCTGTGACGTCGCTGGGGAGTTTACGGACGTGGATTACTCGGGATGGGACCCCAGCACTTCTACTATCGCCTTTGAATTTTTTGCTGTCGTTTCCATTAGCTGTAAAAAGCAAGAGTTACTGATTATTAGAGTGGATTTGAAAGAATATGCAAACACAACTTTTGACATGTGGTTTGTGCTCCCCATCCAGTTATTGCTCTCTATTACAGAGAAATTCCATAGTCTAATTTAACAAGAGTATGAAGACACATGGCTTTACTTTTTTTTTCCCCCCCCTCAAAAACTACGATGCAAGTGACATAGCTAAATGCCACTGCAATGGGATCAACCCTCCAGTGGCCATTTTACAGCTTGTTTACAGTACACACCCACCCACATTTCTACTTTGTGTAGGTCTGCACCACTAATTCTAGATTGCTGTTTTATTACTTTTCACTTTGACTGGTATTCTTGGCAATGAAGCAGTTTAAAGGGGACACCTTAAAACAAGTGATATTAAACCAAATATGAACCAAAATGTAATTTTAGATCATCTGGATTATACATATTGCAAAGACTGTCAAGCAGTACTACAATGACCCAGTCTGGCAGGGAGGCCACAGGCAGAACATGAAGAGACACAAAATACAACCGTAGCCCAAAGACAATTCAAGGCACTGGTAAGCACAGAGGGCAAAGTTCTAGAGCACTCAAGGATACTGTCTTTGGTGGGATTACTAACCTCTAGATGGTGTAAGACTACCAAATAGCAAACAACTACATACAGCCAAAATAATACTACATTAAATTAAATTGTGCTTTTAAGTATAACAGCTTACAGCAAAACCTGCATGTTATAATTCTGTAAAATCATTTTAGCAACTGTCCTGCAACAATTTTATTCAGCCTATTAACCTTAAGGGTATAGGGCAGGAGTTTGTTATAATTCAGAAGTGTCCTACATACAAAAGGCCTAATAAGTACTAAAAATGAAGAGCTCTTAATATTAAGACTAAGTGGGAAAAAACAGACCTCCTCATAGTATTTGCAATCCTTACCAATTGCTATTCTTTTATAGGCAATATTACCTGCAGAAGAAGAGTTGCTGCTCATGATAAAGGGTCCGTTAGTAACACAAGTAGAGAAAAGCTCGTCAGATCCCCGCTGGAAAAGAAAAGATGAAAGGTAAACTGACAGCATTTTTACTAAATTCTATTCAGGTACTTCTAAAGCAGAACAATTGAGATTAAGGTGTAGAGAAGCTGAGCAGAATTGTAAGTGAAAATATACTGACAGTGGGCAGTAAACCTCACCTGCATCATAAATTAAATATAAGTAAGATCCAATTTAGTAACCGAGTAGCACTATCCAATATCTCTTTTCAGCTATGCATTAGGAATCTTAAGAGCTGAAACATTGCTGAATTGTCTGCAGCACTGTATATTGATATTCACATTCTCCTACTGTATCTAACAACAGATTTCTGACTACTTGTATCAAAACATTTTAATTCTTTTAGGTAAAGCTAGAATACCATAGTTGATCAAGAACAGCAAAACAGATAGGCCTCCTGGCATTCATCAAGAGGACAAAGATTATTTTACTGTGGGTTACCACAAGTAAGAAAGTCTTAAACAAAAGACAAGTTATCAGAAGCTGGCCAAACTATTAGTGTAGGACTTGGCAATTAGGAACCAAAGATGTGTATTTTCCAGTTACAAGCATAAGGTGCAACTTGGAGAAACTGCTATCTGAAAGAAATGGATCTCTTCCCCTCCCTACCCCAAAAAAGGGCAGATCAGGAAAGTAAAGCTACTAGCAAAAAGCTACTCTTCAAATCTTACAGCAGCAATAGGTCGATATGCAATTCAGATTCTAGTACAAAATAGTCTGATCACTGGTTTGTTGTCTCCTATCCACAACCCCCAGAACAGCAGCAACAGCTGGACAATACCATAAAGCACACTTCAGTCAAAAGACAGACTAGCATTCTGAAGCAGAGAAACCCGACTGTCACAGGTACAAAAATCTCTGCAACCCCATCCTCTACTGCCTTTTGCACTAGCAGTTGTTCTACATTAAAGTCAACATGGTTACTTGCAAAATAAAAAAAAAGCTGAGTAGCACAGCATATCCCAACATCATGATTCTTCTGATCCTTCTTACTGCAGCACCATGCATTTCAACTCTATGGAGGAAGAAAACATAACAAAATTCTACAATAAACTGTTCCTACTAGAATTAGACTACCTAAACAAACTGGTATTGCAGAATTACAGAAATGCATTTATTCTCAGCTTTAGTAACTATAATTGTATAATCCTATTCACAAAAAGTTACTACTTGCAGGAGCATGGCACTTCTCCATTCCCTGAAAATAAAGCTAAACAGATTACTGTATGCAGTGTATGTGTTTCAGCTCACTACAGCACTCCCTGTAAAGTCACCCAAATCACCTCAATTGATCAAGACTATTGTAACCAAAGTAGGAGGTATGAAAAACACTAAGACAAAAGCAAACAAGACTACAAATTACTTCTTAGCACAATCTACACTTTTTAATATATATATCTATAATACACCTTAAAATCAGTATGGCTTAATTTCAATTAAGTTACATAGAAGACCTCAAATCCCATTGTAAACTGTGATCAAACATGACAAGTCTAACATATAAAAGCACTTTCTCATAATTTTCTACTTTATTCTTACATAGAAATGCACTAAAAGGCTTTTATAACAGAAAAAGGAACAGAGCTTATCCCTGCCATGGCTAACGCCCACCCATCTCGATGGAAACATACCCTGCTTCACACTGCAGCCACCAGAAACTCTACCTTCCACCATGCCCTATATCTGGTGGCACCTGCAGAAACAGTATCTGCGCGACAACAAAAGCTCTCTGCTCGCTTCTCCAGCAAACAGGCTGGAAAAGTAGGTCACACGAGAGCCCCAGAACACTGAATTAGAGACACAGGTTTTAAGTTTTTTCTTTCCCCCTCAAATCTTGAATTTCTTGTTTGACTACTCACTGCTAGCTCTTCAAAGACAGGCTCAAGGACTTTGATGTCCCGAATAAAAGAAATTAGGCCAGGTTCCAAAACCTCAGTTTGTGTGCTGCTGCTGGTCACCTGCAAGCACTGACCAGGTTCCACAAAGGCTATGGGCACCCAGCAAGGTCATCTCCTCCTAACATGGGATAGTAATTAGGAATAGGCCTTTTTAACAGCTGTTCTAATTAGCACTTGGGTTCCTGAGTACAGCAAGAGGCAAGCAAGTCTGGGAGGCTAGTAGACTGTGATCCCATCCTTTTGATGACTCAAATTAATGCCTAGTTCCAGGGCTAAAAAAAAATCCACCAGTTCACTGTGAAAATGCTCTTGTGCCTGAGCCACAGCAAACACTCCATGTAGGGCTTTACTGCCTGTGGCCTGGACTACAACTGGCAGCTATGTACAAGAACCATCCACCAGCAAACAAAAGCCCTACCAATGCAGACAAGTGTTTATTAGCCTCATGAAACCCCTCGCATCAGTCCCTAATGGACCTTGAACTTTTAAAGAAGTGTTCTTCAACAGCTTGTGAACTTCTGACCATACAGAACCCCAAGCACCCCCAGTATGGACCAGTGAGTCTGCACAAGCATGCTCAGGCACCCTTGCAATCCATCATGGCCACACCAGGAGAACAAGCCACATATCTGGCTCCCACAGACGCAACACTAGGAAATATAAACTGGAAAAACAAACATTTATACTATTATGGAAAGAATTTAAATTCCCTGAATTTAACTTTCCTAATGGCTTGTTTAAAATAAACATTTTCTCACATATTTGAAAATTTACATGCAGGGCACTTTGACAAGGAATGCTCACTGCTGCTGGTTTCCACATGTCGATGTGTCTTTAATGAAAGAGCAATTTCAAATCCACGCCCCTCTTATCTTGGAGACAGTCTACACTGCCCGCTGTGACCAGAGCCAGGAGGCAGAGGGGGATGATTGTTCAACATCAAAAGAAGCAGCAGTCAATTTGTAAGCTTCCCAGCTGGAAGTACATGCAAACGAAGAGGGAACACTGCAGCAGTTGGAAAACTACAATTATTCCAAGGTCTTTTCTCTATACAAGGAAACACAAGCAGTAAATACATGGTATTGTGCATTTATACCAAAATTATTCCACACGGACTCTCTTTAAAAGAATGGCTTTTAAAGTGCAAACGTAAGAGGAGCATACCCAATGCACTAAGGAGTTACACAGCACTGCCATCCTGACACCGGCACAGACCAGTGCTGGCAAGTGTCCCACAACACCACAACAGAAGGAAGTTGCATCAACTACAACTTTTCATCAGTTTGCTCCTCCTCCGTTACTGCTGGAGCTGATCTCAGATAACCACAAGAAATCCCTATTGATGGTTGCTTTTTGGAATGACCTAACCTGAGGCAAATTGGAAACAAGCACTTTATTAATCTCCACTTGGTATTGGGAACATCAGCAGGAACCTGCATCGGTTGTCTGTCTTCACACTTGCGGTGATTGCTATCATCTCTTTCCAGGCTCTAATATCTTTTCTTTCTGTACATGTCAGAAGTTATAAATAAGTTTTCAAACCGTGTTATACATTCAAATGCTCCATACCAAGTATCCTAGTTCAGTAGAGCCAGAGGAATGAAAGCAAGCCTCATTTTAAAAGGTTTAGAAGAGTTTCTCACCAATGTATACACTGGGTTATCTGAATTATATTGGAAACCTCAATACAAAAACTATTGATTCTGAAGTATTATTTTACTGAAGTTTAAAACTACGCAAACCCAGCAAATGGCTGTGTAGGTACTCAGCTGCTCACCAGCATCAGCTCTCAACACTACTTTTCCACCTTTTGTTATTCTCCAACTACCATGGGGAGGACCAGCTGCACAGTGCTTCGTTCAAGATACTTCAGATTCTGCAGTTCACATCCCTGCTCACAAGAGGCATTAATTTATGTTGACATTTCTGTTTAGCTAATTATTTTGCAGCTGGTATTTTTATGACGAGATTAACAGAAGCAACAGTGTGCTAGCACTAACTCCACTCTACACAAAATTATTCATTTGAACTAACAAATCTCCTCTTCCTGTTTGTAGAAAACAAATACCACTTTTGAAGTTACACTGCCAGATCTTACCTAGACCAGGGTAAGGCTGTTTCTACCACCAAAATCACCAGCTGGCACACATACTACTACCAGGTAAAACACCGCCTGGGAGCGTTTCTATGACAGCAGCCTCCTTTTGTCTGTGACACTCATGGCTACAAAAGGTCTATTGCTCAAGCTGCATTAATTTAATAACACACTCATGCTCCATGTAGTCTCCATATCAATACTTCTTTGGTTCTCTTTTCTGAATTAGAGAAAGGCAATCTGCCACGAGGTAGAATTTTATTATTTCATATTTTTCCAAGTTATCTTTTTGACCACCCCCCAAACTCTAAGCCCTTTCTTGTTTTCAGAACTAACAAATAATTTCTAAGAATTTTTAATTTGTCTAGGCTTTTGCAGCTTAAAAAGCAACTGTTAATTCATGTGAAAACTACAAATTATCCCACTGTCACCAGGATTTTACCTGAACTTTACCATAGTTTGGAATGAAGCCACAGATTGTCTCAGCCTCTACCAGCACACCTAGAAGCACTACAGAAATTCTCAGCTGCCTTATAATCCTGTATCTATTTAAGATCCAGTCACTTACTTTAAATGGCTTACAATAAATCAACTGCACGCTACCTGTGCAAAAGGCTAGAAACAAATACAAACTAAATGACCATAAAAATATTAATTTCAATACAAATAGGTGATATTAATCAATTTTCAGAAAGCAACAAGTTACAGGCAGAAAGCAAAATTAAAGCAATGACAAAAAGACAGGGCATACAGGAAGAAGACAATAACTAGGAAGGCCAGCAAGCTGCATGCTAGCCAAGCCCAAGATCTACAGAAAATGATCTCTTTCCGTGGCTCACAGGAAATTTTACAGAGCAGCAGCATTCTCTGCTTTTGGATGTGGAGCATCTTGCACTGCTCTACATTTTTTTTAAAGAGACTAGGACAGCAGTATCCCTCCTTCTTGTGAGAGAAAAGATAGATTTAGGAGACATACAGGCCATCAGCCAATATGAATT